AATGAAAATGCAGAATTCACGTCAATTCTAAATTATTCAAACGAAAAAATCGTTCAACCGATTAAACAAACGTAATTACGCGGATAGTCCTCAAATATCAACACATTCCATCATACGTATATGAAAAGATTGATAGGGATCATCTCCAGAGGAAAGAGCCAATCAAATTGGTGAATGTATCATAATAAACTTAATAATTGTAAGTTTTCACTCCACTGTTACTGTCCGCACATACTGGATGGTAATTCACATGAATGTTAAAACGATTCAAATTTGAATCGCTCCATAAATTGATCAAAGACAAATAAACCAACGATTACAAACAAACACGTAAAATACAAAAAGACGTTAATATGATAACGTAAATAAATGAATAAATAAAATGAATTACCTGACTGAGAAATGAGCATTTTGTAGAGAATAATTGTAAATGCGTTGAAACAAATAATGCAAATTGAATAAAACATCATAGTGTGATAGCACCAAAAAAACATAGTTACAATAGAGATGATGTGAAGAGTGACCGACCAAGTGAGGCTTAAAAGTACACTGGTAATGTTCTGTAATATAAATCAAAATATTGAGATAAGATTTTTGATATAGGATTTTCTTTTTGGGATAAATCCATTCGTTAAACCAGTGTTATGTGGATATCAAAACTGACTGTGCGATATTAATTCCTTCTATGTGAATTCTCAACAACTCATTTTTCATTTATGAGCGTTTTCAATTTAATGTTGAGAAGAAAATTTATTCGTATGAGGCAATCATTTACTGCGTACACATTTCTGCTTTAATCATTGACGCACGAAAGGCGATAACAGTCATGGCACAATGTGTTAGTTTTTGAGAAAGCATCAGAGTAATTTCTACAGAGTATTCTTTTAAAAAAATTTGCTAATAAGCTATATTCTAGATTTGCAGAGTCACCTCTACATACATATCGCTAACTTAATGCAACAACATACCAGTATGAACATAATCGTCTGCGTTGCTCTTCAATCCAATTTGATCGGGAAACGTATATGGTGATCATAAGTGTGCGGTACAAATACACGAAACAGTGGCAACACCTTTAGAAATTCACCTTTCGGCGAATTGCAGTAATGATGAAGACGAATGTACACCTGCAATAATCGATGATACGCATCACTACTTTCGATAGAGCAATGTGCGAAAATTCGGATGGCTTATTGAATACCTCTGGTCGATTTTTGATTCCGGGCAGCCAGTCAAAATCATCAGCACAACCCTCCACATTGAAATAACCCTCTTCGTTGTCCACCGTCGTAAAGCCCATCTTATCGTCCGGATCGATATGATCATAGAATATTTTACCCTTAAATTCAAACATATCGGTAAACCATTCGATTTCGCGCAAAAATTTCCTGTTGCAAGCCTAGACTAGGCTATGATTTGGCTTGTATCTAATCATCCTAAATTCAAACCAAAAATCTG